GGAGTGGACATTTTCATTGCAGTAATAAATTGCATATACTACTCACCATATATTTATAGGAATGTGCTTCAATCACACCAGCCCATGAGGCATGTGCGCCTCACCTAAATGAAAGCTTCTGCATCCATTCATTGAAAGATACGACACGTTGTTTCATGTTGGTCTGTACGCATCCAACCACCCACGTGTTAGTATCAAGGTGCACAAGGTAGATTCAAGACGTGAACCCTGAAGTTCAATTGCCTGTCACAGTCACGTAAGCTACGGTGAGGAAGCAGCTTTTGAATTTAGTATCATTTCGGAAAATTACCCTCTCATTTTGGAATCTCTTCCTTTCCGATTAAAGAGCATGTATGCGTTTATGGCTCCATGTATCGATGTGGTGGTGAAATGGGCTTTCTATTGGCGAAAGCACGAAAGCACTGTATGGTTTTGGAGAAAAAAGAACCGGGACTAGTGATGAGGGCACTGCTTATTTCGTACCTCCTTTTCCTAAATGCTCTGATGTAGTAGTTGCAAGGGCTAGGGCAAATTTGACGGGGAGATTAATAGGCAGTGTAAATGTCGTTCAATGAAAGGGGGATACTGGCCGTTGATGGGTCCACAATGTTGGCTCACATAAATGAGTGATCGCTTTGGGAGTTGGGCTTACATTAATGAGGGTGCAAGTTTAATTTTACCCTTATTGTGGATTTACCATGTTATTATGCTATGGTCAGCATTGCAACGAGATGATGCAGTGCAAACTACCTTCCATTGACGTATACTCAGAAATGTTGTAGGCGAGACTGGGGTGGCTTTCGGCCTCCCCAATGCCTTGGTGCATGCCAGCATGCTATTTGTTGTGAGCCAATTTTGGACGAAACATCACCTTCATTTAAGCTAGATACCTGAATTATTTGGAACGCATTAATTGACACTATGCAATCTACTTGCAATCCCGTCAAATAAGTGTTGTCTTCAGCCAGAAAATCTTGTTGCATTTCACGGTGGCAGAGGAGGCAGAAGCTCCGTTCAGGTTGACACGTCGAAATTGCAGTGGTTTGAGTTTCGGTGAAAGGACGAGCTGTGTCAATAGGCCAATGTCCGGTATGTCAGGGTGAATATGCAATTTTCTTCTTTGTACATTACCAGTGGCGCGTTTGACTGCATGAGAAATCTGCCACAGCTCATTGTTCCTCTTTTAC